GGAAGCCAAAATCACTTTTCTTCGTTTTAACTTTAAAATAAACAACTTTACTTTTGTCAACCTCTTTAGGGGAATATCCTATAATATATGAAAGAATGTGATATCCTATAATATATGAAAGAAAATTGTGATATCCTATAATATATAAAATTGTGATATCCTATAACATATGAAGGATTGTGATATCCTATAATTATATGAAAGATTGTGATATCCTATGAAAGAATGTGATATAATAATATGTGATATCCTATAATATATGAAAGGATTGTGATATCCTATGATAATATATGAAGGATTGTGATATCATATAATATATGAAAGATTGTGATATCTATAATATATGAAGGATTGTGATATCCTATAATATATATGTGATATAATATATGAAAGATTGTGATATCCTATAATATATGAAAGATTGTGATATCCTATAATATATGGAAAGAATGATAATCCTAATAAATTGAAAAGATTGTGATATCCTATAATATATGAAAGATTGTGATATCCTATATAAAATATATGAAAGATTGTGATGATATCCTATAATATATGAAAGAATTGTGATATCCTATATATGAAGAGATTGTGATATCCTATAATATATGAAAGATTGTGATATCCTAATAATATATGAAAGATTGTGATATCCTATAATATATGAAGGATTGTGATATCCTATAATATATGAAAGATTGTGATATCCTATAATATATGAAAGATTGTGATATCCTATAATATATGAAAGATTGTGATATCCTATAATATATGAAAGATTGTGATATCCTATAATATATGAAAGATTGTGATATCCTATAATATATGAAAGATTGTGATATCCTATAATATATGAAAGATTGTGATATCCTATAATATATGAAAGATTGTGATATCCTATAATATATGAAAGATGTGATATCCTATAATATGTGAGATTGTATCCTATAATATATGAAAGATTGTGATATCCTATAATATATGAAGGATGAAAGATTGTGATATCCTATAATATATGAAAGATTGTGATATCCTATAATATATGAAAGATTGTGATATCCTATAATATATGAAAGATTGTGATATCCTATAAATATATGAAGATTGTGATATCCTATAATATATGAAAATTGTATCCTATAATATATGAAGAATGTGATATGAGATTGTGATATCCTATAATATATGAAGGATTGTGATATCCTATAATATATGAAAGATTGTGATATCCTATAATATATGAAAGATTGTGATATCCTATAATATATGAAGGATTGTGATATCCTATAATAAATGAAAGATTGTGATATCCTATAATATATGAAGGATTGTGATATCCTATAATATATGAAAGATTGTGATATCCTATAATATATGAAGGATTGTGATATCCTATAATATATGAAAGATTGTGATATCCTATAATATATGAAAGATTGTGATATCCTATAATATATGAAAGGATTGTGATATCCTATAATATATGAAGGATTGTGATATCCTATAATATATGAAAGATTGTGATATCCTATAATATATGAAGGATTGTGATATCCTATAATATATGAAAGATTGTGATATCCTATAATATATGAAGGATTGTATTTATAATATATGAAAGATTGTGATATCCTATAATATATGAAAGATTGTGATATCCTATATAATATATGAAAGATTGTGATATCCTATAATATATGAAGGATTGTGATATCCTATAATATATATGAAAGATTGTGATATCCTATAATATATGAAGGATTGTGATATCCTATAATATATGAAAGATTGTGATATCCTATAATATATGAAAAGAATGTGATATCCTATAACATATGAAAGTTTGTGATATCCTATAATATATGAAGGATTGTGATATCCTATAATATATGAAAGATTGTGATATCCTATAATATATGAAGGATTGTGATATCCTATAATATATGAAAGATTGTGATATCCTATAATATATGAAGGATTGTGATATCCTATAATATATGAAAGATTGTGATATCCTATAATATATGAAAGAATGTGATATCCTATAACATATGAAAGTTGTGATATTGATATCCTATAATATATGAAGGATTGTGATATCCTATAATATATGAAAGATTGTGATATCCTATAATATATGAAGGATTGTGATATCATATAATATATGAAAGAATGTGATATCCTATAATATATGAAGGATTGTGATATCCTATAATATATGAAAGATTGTGATATCCTATAATATATGAAAGAATGTGATTTCCTATAATATATGAAAGAATGTGATATCCTATATTATATGAAAGATTGTGATATCCTTTAACATATGAAAGAATGTGATATCCTATAATATATGAAAGATTGTGATATCCTATATTATATGAAAGATTGTGATATCCTTTAACATATGAAAGAATGTGATATCCTATAATATATGAAGGATTGTGATATCCTATAATATATGAAGGATTGTGATATCCTATAATATATGAAGGATTGTGATATCATATAATATATGAAAGATTGTGATATCCTATAATATATGAAGGATTGTGATATCCTATAATATATGAAAGATTGTGATATCCTATAATATATGAAAGATTGTGATATCCTATAATATATGAAAGATTGTGATATCCTATATTATATGAAAGATTGTGATATCCTATAACATATGAAAGATTGTGATATCCTATAATATATGAAAGATTGTGATATCCTATAATATATGAAGGATTGTGATATCCTATAATATATGAAAGATTGTGATATCCTATAACATATGAAAGATTGTGATATAATTGTATTCATAAATGTTTAACGACAGGAGCATGACCTATTTGGTTTCCAAGTCTATTCATTTTCATCTTCTTAATTCTTATAAAAATATCGCTTTCTAAAATACAGATATTTCCTTTGATCGTTCAGATCAGTATCAGTTATATGCTAGAACCCATTTATACGTATTAAAATACTATAAGAATTAGCTTTATACCCTTTTGAACGTAACCTTAATCAAGACATACCGGAATTCATTAAAACATGTTGTAGAATCATTTGTATTTGGAATTGCTTATGTTCCTAATGATACTAATTTGTGCATTTTCAGTGAGCTTTTTACGGTTATACTTACAAAAAATACTTACTAGCTCTTTTGCTTTAGTAAAAATGGGATCGCCTTTTCATTGAACATTTGGAGTGTCTAATTTTGAATCCTTGCTAAACTTATCGTCATAAAACTTTGTAAGTCAGAACAGTGCATGCCTTGAGGCATTTTGTCGTACATAAATTAATGTTTGTATACAACGCAGGTTGACTTTAAACAAACATGTTCCTGAAAATACATCAGAAGCCATCATTAATCGTTCAAACAATGACTAGGATTTTACTCCTTTGCATGTATTGAAGAACTAGTGGCGTTTTGTCTAAAATTTTCTGGGCAAATGTAGGAAAGTGAATGTATATTTGGAAATTCCGGAATGCCGATAGGGCCATCGCCTATGAATGGTTTGATCTGAAACACGATACTCGACATTACGATGATGAAAACGCGAAATCACGAAACTACGATGGTGAAAACGCGACACTAAGATGGTGAAAACACGATAGTTTATCGCGTTTTCATCATCGTAGTATCGTATTGTCGCGTTTTCATCATCGTATTATCGCGTTTTCATCATCGTACTTTCGCGTTTTCACCATCGTAAATTCATGATTTCGCACATTCATAGGCGATGGCCCTAACGGCATTCCGTAGGAAATTCAAAGTGTAACGGAAGGTAAACTAAAAAAACCACAGACACTTTGGGTTTGGAGCTCAAAACGCCTTTAAAATCCAAATAAAATGCAAATTTGTCAATCCCAGCATATTTACTGATCATATATATCAAAAAAACTTAATATAAGCCGTTTTGAAAAAAAAATCATATTTCAACATCTATAATAATACACAAGATAAAAATGTTCGCCGGAAAAAATCCGCACCCCTACCGTCATAATCACCATGTATTTTATTCCATTTCCAATATTTTCACAGCCGTCTGGCACGTTTGAAATTATCGGAAGATTTTGTAGATGGAGGAAAACGGCGATAATCTTGATGTTTATTTCGGCTGTTGCGTTGTTTATATTACCGTTGAAGTTTAAAATTAACCATCATCGTGAAGAATTATATCTTCTGTGTCGATGGACCAAAGGATTATTGTGAAAATATTGGAAATGGAGATTATGAGTGCGGTAGGGGTGCGGATTTTTTCCGGCTAACATTTTTATCTTGTGTATTATTATAGATGTTGAAATATGAATTTTTTTCAAAACGGCTTATATTAAGTTTTTTATATATATATATATGATCAGTACATATGCTGGGATTGACAAATATGCATTTTATTTGGATTTTAAAGGCGTTTTGAGCTCCAAACCCCAAGTGTCTGTGTAAAAAACAACACAAAAAAAAAACACACACACCTTTGATTGGCCGTGTCTCCGTGCGGTATAGACCGAAAGGGTTAATACAGTCACAAGAAAGTAAGATGTCTGTTGCTAAAATTATCTTTGTCGCTTCTGGAAATATTCTAAGAGATAAATAGATGGTCTAATTGTTGTCCTTGTTAGAGTTGAATAGATTTACTGGTACACAGAAATCTCGGGAGTATTTTTAAGAAATTTGATATTTTGATGGTTTTTGTTAGTGTAAGATCGGATATAGTATCAAAATAGATTCTTCTTCACAGAAATCTCAGATACATGTATTTGTTTAATTGATCAGTAAATCTTCATAGGCATATGATTGATTAGGAACAGTTTATCTTAAAGATTTAAGGTAATGTTGTTTTTTAAAAGTTAATAATTATATAAATAAGGAAATTGACGAGATATAAAAAGAGAGGAATTAGATATAAGTTTAAGCTTGATAGTTTTTGACCATAGTTTTTAGTTCAAATTGGAACATATATTTTTGAAATATTGAAGAAATAGTTTGAGACTGTTATCTTGCATTTATTTGCTTCTGTATTATTTTTTTATCAATGTACATGTATATATAAATAAAGTTGATGTCTAATCATAATGTTCAAAAACGCCAGGAAGATATTATATGTGAATATTTTATATGAAGACGAATAAATTTTCTGAGATAAATATACATGTATTATATATTTGCTTTTAAATATTTTACAGTTATTTTTTTAGCACAAAGAATAATAATTACAGCATGTTTTATGCTACAGTACTTTACGCCCTATTCTTTATGAAAATCGCCATGAAATCTGCAATACCAAACATTCTCCTCTGGAAGAAGTCGACCGAATTATATTTTGAATATATAAATGCTGGTACAGATGGATGATCGTCAAATAGACATGCTGGCGAAGGTACGACAGAGTTGATTACAATAAAATGACCTTTGTCATTTGGGCATCCACCAAATTGTCTATTGATATAGAAACGTCGATCAGTATGTTTCCCATCTGAATGTCCTCCCATAGAAAATCTATTGTAAACACTAGTAGACGTAAGGTCTGGCCAGCTTGAGTCAATGACACGGCTCTTATCAAACCAGTTGATGATATCGCTATCTTTACCGTTGAAGATTACATATGCCACTTCTTTGTCAGCGTCATAAAAAGCAAATATGACCAGCTTGATGTCAAGATTTGACCAGTGGTTTACACTTATATCCCGATAGTGTAAACCATTAGTGCGCTTCATGGAAATAGGCTTGTCCGGGGTTGTATTACTTCCTGTCAGTAATAGTAAAGAAACAAAGGAGATACAGTACTGTCCTGAATAATAAATATCTATTTAATAAAATAACACATGCAAATCACTGTGCTTCTAGGTAATGGAAAATATGTTTGTGCTGGTCGGAGAGATAACTCCGATACATATATAGATAGCCCTGACACTCGTTAAATATAATTGTTATAACTTTAATTGTTTTTCGACAAGCAATCACAAATTTAACGTCACCTAGTTATATAGGAGTAGAACAGAATTTGATAATTTTCTGTTGGTGAACCTATAATGTTTTACAAATAACCTTAACTTTAGTAGACAAAAACTGCTTCAAAACATTCTTTTTATTAAATTGCAATGAGGTAGTTAGGATTGTATTGACCTTAGGCCACTGACTTGGGAAATAATTTTGAATAATGGTTTAAATATCAACAAAAAATAGAAAGGACATATAAGACTTTATTGAATGTTGTGGGATCATGTTTTGTATACCTCATTTAGGACCTTAAAGAAGTATATATTTTTTTAAGTGTAATGTGAAGTCTTTGAACTGACCTTTGTTTAGGTGATTCATCATTTAAAATATATTTGAAGTAAAATACATGTAAGCTATTACAAAAAATGTGTGATTTTAGTGTCGGAGTTCTCTCCAAACAGTATCTGTGTTAAAAGTTATTAATTTATTTTAATACGAGTACTGTTTTAAACTAATAAAACTAGGTTAAATTTGTCTACAATTTCAAAAGTATAAATCAATGTATTATTTGTAATCGGTCTTTGAGTATCCATTAGATATAAACGATATCAAATGTACACTAAAATATTTGCCATGCATCATACCCCAGAAATGCTTTTACTTTTATTTCTCAAAAGCTTTTTAATTTTGGTGTCCTGTAATAGTTTCAAAACGGTTACTCATTGGCCAATCAACTGAACCATCGTTTGCTTCTGTTGTCTTTCGATAATTAATGCGATAACTACACACACTAGATCCACAAATAGTCAGTTGGCAAAATATGTATGTTTGCAATGTGAAACTTTGAAACTAGAAATTTTGATAGTAATTTTAATTTTTTTTTCGTCTGGCAGATAAATACAACAATTAACTTATAATATAATTCGGTAAAACTTTAAAGTATTTTAATTTGTGTTCTGTTTTTTTGGGTTTTTTTTGGTATATACAGAGCTTAAGAAGAGAAATTATGATAAAAGAAACATTTATAATCACATTTTATTAAATTCTAGGACCAATGAAAAGAAGAAAAAAAACAACTAAAAACAAGACTTACCGTGAACCCAAGCATGATATACGCTACGGCCGTTACCAGATGTTCCTCTAAAGACCATCTTCCATCCATCTTCCTCCGTCTTCAATACATTGATACCACTGAAATAAGATAAGAAAAAACTACCTAATGTTTTCATCCTTATTTCTAGGTGACAGGTTTTACTTACTTCATACATCTTATAAATTCTTTGTTATAGTCCTTTTTTTAAAACAAGCTGAAAATTAAAAAAGTGTCATAAACAGCATCATGAACTAATCACTGTACAAGTATGTACCGCTGACTATCATAGTAATTACAGCATCTTTAATAGTATCATGTACGTGTTTACACATATTTCAAACATTCAAGATTGTTACTCAAGGTTTTTGCCACACATTAGAGTGTAATAAAAATGTTTATTAAATGTTTAACCATCTCTTACCCACTTTCTATCGTAATAATGTTGTTTACGAATATAAAACACATCAAAACCGCACAAAGCATGTCTGAAGTTGATTCCGGTGTTGTTGCTTAAATTGCAAACTGGCATTTATTAAACGCTACAAATTGAAATTATTTCTTTTATACCGATAAGTTATATAAATTATCACGTGACAATCTGTTATTAAGAAAATACCTCAGGAACAGCATTATGCTACTTAATCGGATAATTCTAAGCACCACCTACTTAAATAAGTTACTGCTTCAGAACTTTCCGTTTTTGTAAGAGTATAACCGGGTTGACTTCTAAAAAAGAGATGCTGTTTTGAATCAACCAATATAATTATGTTAAGAAGGATTATTGCAAATATTGTTTGTCCCGATTAGACTTTGTTTTAAGTGATTAATTCAACCGCTACGTATATGTAAGCTATTAAAAAATATTGTATAAACCTTCAATATAGACCTTAGGTAATTATGAATCAAGTCTTAACCAGGATCTGATTCAATTTATGCGGATTTGTACAACATGCTATCTGGAAAGCTTATGAGGATTAGTGTTGTAATGAAAGATAGTGTGTACATTTTGGTTGAATGTCCAGGACTCGAGCTTTAACAAATATATCTCCGCGACGTGCACGCCTCGGGAGGGATTTGGAGAAGAGGCTGTTACCAAACTTAAGAGTGAAATTTTATATATGTATATGATTATGCTTATAAAACAATGTTCAAACATCGAAGAATATGTATATATGTACTGCAAATATTTGTGCCCAATATATAAAATATATGCATTAATTTCTTAGTGAAAATTTGACTTAGACTTTATAAAAAATAAATTTCTAATTACCTCCTTTATTTACATAAAATGTAAAATTCGGTAATAGCTTTATAAAAAATGATTTTTGGAACTTACAATTGATAAATCTTAATTTGAGCATCATATTTATGATATTAAACCATAAAAAAATGTTTTACAGGATCTTTTAGTGTGTTAACAATTATACAGGATCTTTGAGAAGAATAATTGCGAGTATTGATTCTCGGGATAAGATAACAAAAACAACCAGTAGCGTATGTTTATGTTATTAAAATAACATAATATTCATAATCTTACAATGTAGACATTTAGAAAACACGCTCAATTAAGGGATTATGATTCCAGCAAAAACAGGGATCTGATTAAATTTATCCGAATTTGTATTGCATGTTTTCGTGAAAGCTTATGAAGATCCGTCTTGCCAGATGTTATGATTGAATTGTCTGAACAACAATATATTTAATCATCACCATTAAATTATCGAACTACATGTATGTAATTTTAATCTAATCAAGTGGTCTTTGGGGATATTCGAACCATTGTTGTTTTATCTGCAAAACTGCTGTTCAATAAAATGTACGAAAACAGAGTCAAGATAAAGACACATCAGTTAATACTTTCTTCGTAACATTGATCATTCCGTGCAATATGAATCGTACGAGAATCTTTCGTTTTGAAGTCTATTACTTTTAGGGACCTTTTTTGTGGGAAAATCAATATATGTGTCTGACCATGAATCCAGCGTAAAGCGAAGCTCTTCACTACTACCACTCTATGTCATGCGGAGTACCTTGGTTATTAAGGTCACGTTGAGTCAAAATGTCGGATGATTATGTTTACGGAATTCTACTTATAGTTTCAGTGGGCGCAGGGGTTTTAATACGATATGCAAAAACTCCATTACAGAAGAAACTTCTATCAACATGCATTGGCATATGTTTGATAATATTTCCTTGCGGTATAGAAGCCATGCATCCCTTAATAGTCACCCTAGGAAATTGTCTTTTGATCAAATTTCTAGGTGCTAGGTAAGGAAATGAGACTCTGAATTGATTTTTAGGGAATCTATAAGTACGAAATATGTTAAAACAATAAATATACTCTATAACGATTGAATACATTAAATAGTTTCCACATTAATTAATGTTGAACTCAAAATAAAAAAAATGGGAGTGAAGTGTTTCGGTAAAGGGTCAACTCACAGGGAAATCTGTCATTATTTTATTAAATCTATATATATAATAATATGAAATTAGGCAAAGCCTATGTACGGGGAAGTCGTTAAAAATTCCTTTCATTCTTTCCGTTTTAAAGGTGTCATTCGGTATTACATGCACCGCTTCCGTTTTCACTCGGAACACTCGACGTTTATTATTTATCCGAAAAGTTGAGATTTGTTCCGTTATCGGAATACCCCGCCTATTATCATTGAGTTACATTGTAAATGGCAGCGCCCGACTAGAACTGACACTGAAAATTTCATTGATAGGTATAGAATTCTATATATTTTTTAATTGTTTTTTATTTGATTTTTTTAAAAATATACACGTGTAGTCTATAGCCGGGCAAGCCAAAGCCCGGACCCGCTTCGCGGGCCCGGTCTTCGACTTCCCCGTATAAACAAGGGATACAAGTCGTGGCCTCGCACTACCAGCACGGGTTCGTAAAATGCATTTACACGTGTAAACTGTATAAAATATCCTCTATTCCATCAAAGTTATTGTAGAAGTTAATATATGAACGAGTCAATACCCAAGTTCTACTACAAACACTTTATTAAAACCTGTAACATTACAGGAAATAGCTAACAGTAACATTTCAATATTTACATTGGCTGTCAAGTTGTCGTCCATTTTGCAGGTGTGTTTATGTTCCAAGTATTTTCATTGGCTGATGAAAAAACAGCTATTCGTCGCGGCTATATGCCATTATTATCCGAATTATTATTATTCATTAGCCAATGAAATTGACAGTTACTAATAGAAGTTGGATTTACGCATTGGAACAATCATACGGGCAACATCAAAATGGAAGCCGAGGATAGAAATTAACAAAACAAACATAAATTGTTACAATAATTTGTACCAGAAGTTAATGATTGCATCATTGATGGTGTTGGATAATTAATATTTAACTGATTACGTGATTAAACTTTCTTATATGAGCATACGTTTGCATAAGATGTCGTTTTACACGTGTAATTTGACAAACCGAAATTTTACGACAGTGTGTAAAAATGAAACATGAAAGGTTTTTTTTAATAATATCTTGTCCATGTAACAAAGTGAGTCATTTTTTTTTAAATTATCAATTCTTTCATCAATGTCCAACAATCAGAAGAAAAAAAACTGTTGTATACTGCGTTGTATTTACTTTTTCATGAATTGAGCAATTTTGAGTTGTATCCCTTGTTATATTATATATATAGTGGGAAAGGAAAAAAATTGACAGAATCCCCTGTGGGTCAACTCGGCCCTATACAAACTCGACACCGGCGGGTCAACTTGGCCCTCTACTAGAAAACTTTAACTTAAGGATAGTTTAGCTAATTAACTTTTAAGAAGTAATAGAATTACTATAAAAGTAGTTAAGATGTACGATCACTAACAATCACAATAGAAACTGAGAGTCAACAGATTTTTTGAAATTATCTTTGTTACTTTACAGTAAAGAAGAGATATCAAGACAAAATGTTTTAAATGTTTTGTCTCAATCAAATTTTGTTTAACGAGGGGTAAACTATCTGAGGGGTGAAGTGTCTTCATAAAATGACCTAGGTTGAACTGTCTGAGGGGTGAACTGTCTGTAAATCTATTTTTACGGTGTCCATGTTTGAGTGGTTAAGGTTGTTGACTTCAAGCCACTTGCCCCTCACCGCTGTGGGTTTGAATCAGGAAACTTTCGAAAGGGACTTTGAATTCTTTCATGTGAGGGAGCTATTCAGCTAGCTGAAGGAATGTCAGTGGTTCTACTCATGTGGCATTATGCCTGTTTGTGCCTAAAATAATGTACTGAAGGGCACAGCTCTGTAATAACAAAACATACAACTGGCCTTAACATTAAAATGCATTACTTTCCTAGGAACTTAAAACTGTATGTAAAAAATACCTTATAAGTACTACCAGCTTATTTATTTTTGGGTCAAAATCTCAAAGGACAAAGTTTACTCAAACTTTATCTACAAAATTTGCAATTTACTATCAAAGAAGAACCCACTGTTCCCCGGACATTTCTTTTTTTTTCACATAAATACAGAGAAAAACTTCTTTCTGACTGAACTATATTCACTGAAAGAACAAAATCTATGTAGCAAAGATAATTTATATATAGGCATAATATAGCATTGCCTAGTTGACCTCTACAAAGGCTATATAAATCATAGGCTTTGGGTAAAAAGTTGTCATAATCTACACTCTCATTTACTCATGTGAGCAGTATAATTGCCTACTGGGACCTCCTATTTAATGTAAACATTCTGTTTAATCAAACAAAATATGCAGTTGTTTAATTCTAAATGTAATATTCTATATTTGCAGGTGGTGTCATGTTGCCAGTTTTGCCTGGTGTTTTGGCTACCTAGCTTTCTTCAGAGCTGCTCACTTGTTTGGTTTGTCAAGACCACACCCAGTTACCAATGCTGTTCAACTATTCAATGCACTTAGGGTAATTATAAGTGAACTCTAAATAGTAAATCATATAGTATAATTATAATTTTATCTTATTATGTTCTTTTCTAAACATATTATTTTACTAGGCAAATAAGTGCTGACTGAATTTTTAAAAAATTGGTAGATGAATTTTGAACTAAACATGATATTAGATCTATATGAAACTGATTTGTTTATTCATTTGATCTTTTAATTTTGTCTTGTCAATAAAAATTAATATTTTCTTTTGTGCAAATGAATTGTGATTATTCAATAGCCAGAATACAGCACTAAAAACTAAATGTATAGTGAAATGTTTGATTCTTTCATGTGAACAAGCTGGATGATGGAGGGTTAAAGTTGTCATGCTCAGGTACATGTAAATGATTGTGTAAATGATATAATGTATGGATGTGTACACAAGTTCATCCTGTACAAGAAAAGCTGGTCTTAGTCTCTATATAACATTTTACATTGTCAGTGTGTCACCCGTAACCTGCTGATTTTTGTTACAGATTTCCTTTAAATGGAACAGTCCATTCAAAGTTTTAAGGGATTTCAATATCAAAACACAAATATAAGAGCTACTAACAGAATAGAATCTGATCATACTGCACAGTTATGTAGGCTGGCCTTGCTCTAAACCAGAACAAAGACTAATAATCTCATCCAGTTCCAGCAAGTTTAGGGCTAAAACGCAACTACATGTAAAATAGAAAAATAAAATAAAATTTGAAGTATTTAATATTTGTGTGAATTTCAACAGATGATAGGAGTAGCATTTGAAGTACATGATGCTGATTACGTGCAGAAGAGGGACAAAGATACAGAGGAAGATATTGCCCTAAGGAAAAGCTTCCAACTTAAACCTTCCTTCCTAGATACCATACACTATTCCCTGTGCTACATTGGCTTATTTACAGGTACTTTCAATACAAGAAATGCTTCTTGGATCAAAAGTTTGATTTATAATAAGATGTAAAGAAAAAAATCTTTTTTTCCTGTTCTTATTAATGGAAAAAAGAGATGAACCCAATTTCATTTGTTCTATACATATATAAATAGTCTGGGGGGAAAAAAAACAAATCTCAATTGGTAATTCATCTTTTATATTGAAAATTTTCAAAATAAATACTGACTGAAGAGTACAGTGCAGACCATGATCAGTCAGCACAGATGAGCCAGCTGATCTTGGTATGCACTGATTGCATGATAGATTCAGTTGACACAAGCAGACTGTTTCATGTTTTTCAGAAGAAGAAAACAAAAACCTTGAGTATTCACTATTGCTTTGACATTGTATATATGTTGATGTTTATTTAAATCAGCTTTGTGTAATTAACTAAGATAACCTGATAATCACAACAAATGCAATCTATAGTTGTTTATTAAAGGGACACCACAAGGGTTTTTTTACATGATGGGACTAGAAATAATTTTTTCGAGATTAATGTTTCATTTGATTAAGGTCTAGGAAAGTAACATGTGCAAAATTTCAGATCATTCGCTCATTTTGTTTTCAAGAATAATTATTCCTATTGTGAAGAATAACCAAAATTGAAAAGCCTATGAAAAGCGTCACTCTAATCGGACTATGAATAGCACAATGTTTCGATTTCAATTTATTTCCGGGTTAATTTCTTCATTATCTTCTAAATATGTTTCTGTTTTAAGAACCCCCATTGATCTTTATAAGAAATTCAATGTTTTTTTACTTTTAGACCTCAGTGGAGTGCCTTTAAGAAAATATTAAAAGAAATAGACAATTTGCACAGAATGAATAATTTCCAATATAATTTAATTCTCAAGTTTATGACAAATACTACCTTTAAGCTATTCAGGGGGTGGAGAAGGGAGAGAGGAGGGAAATATCCCTGGTCTTTATATCTAGTACTGTGTGTGTGAAGTAGTTGATAATGTTTAGTTATTGTTGTATTTTCAGGTCCATACTACAAATACAGAACATACTATGACATGTTACATATACCTGAAGATGCTCATATACCTATATATAAATATGCTGTACAGAGATTAAAACAAATACCAATAATAGCTGCAATATATCTTGTTTGTTCCTACTTCTTTAGTATAGAGGTAAACAATTGTTTGCTACTAAATTTAACTATACATGTGATTGCCAATACAGCATGTCAATCTTTTAACCAGATGAATAAAGATGTATTAAAAAGATTTTTCGAAAACCGTATAATCACAGTGTTTTCATATTTTTTAAAATCATACCTCAAAAGAGTGTCATTAAAATATTATCTAATAATTATTATACATTGAATATGTATAAAAACTGAATAAATATTTTAGAATATATTTAGTAGATTTAGTTATGATTTTAAACACGCATACACATTTTATTAGAATTTACAAACATAATTCTGCAAAGGTAAGCACTTTAGAATGATGTTCATAAATATGCAAACAAATTTTCTAATAATTATAGAAAGTCCAATACAGCTTTATACCCTTAAAACTTCTTTAAATAGTGGTCTCTGTGATGTACAAGTGTATGGTCTTTATACTTATAATCTAGCGAAATAACAGCATGAGGTATTGTTTTCCCTTAATAAATGATAATTTTTCTTTTATTTCAGTATGTTAAAACAGAAGAGTTTCATGAAAATCCATTTTGGTTCCGTATTTTTTACATGGTGCCGATGTTCCAAATATTTCGATCTCGTCTGTATTTAGCATGGATCATGTCCGAAGTAATGTCCATGATGGCAGGGCTCGGAGCATATCCAGTTGAGAGTAAAGCCCGGTGTGGGGAAGGACCAACTAATCTCAAGGCACTGAAACATTGGTAAGGGTTATTTTTGTTTTGTCAAGAGATTGGTTTAATGTATCAATAGCCTTTACAGCTTAAAGCTATCATGTATAGTAACAATATCAATGTTTATTACATGCTTTCCGGTGGTTTATAGAAATACATCAGTGATATAAAACTGGTAATTTCACTGTTTGAAACAGTGAAATTATCACTTTGATAATTTCACTGTTTTGAATTTAAGCCCCTTACGTTATTTCAGTAAAATACCAGCGTGCACTGTACTGGGTACCAACGTAATGACGTGACGTCGTAAATGACGTCACATTATATTATTATTTGGTGCGCTTTTCATTCAGTATTAGGTTTAATATCTTTTTAAAACGTTTCTTTGCATGTAATAAAAAGAAAATTTGTTTAGTTTAGTGTAAGATCGAAATATATTTCACCTTGTGAACACCAAAAGTTCATATTTCACTTGTGGCTGCGCCACTCGTGAAATATACCTTTTGGTGCTCACTCGGTGAAATATACTCCGATCTTACATTGAACTAAACAAATATCCTCTATATAGTTGATCTTTTTCTGTTGATCAATAGTAACCAAAGAAAAAATTTTGACTAATATTTCAAGAAAATCAAACTTTAGAAAAGTGTAATAAGATTTTAAGAAAAGTAAAAAGATTCTAGAAATAATTTTCTTATTATTATAACTTGTGTACAATTAATGACTGATTTGTAGTATTTTTATCACCTTTTAATATTTCTATTTCTACTGCGTTACTAATGCAGTAAGTTCTATTTTTGCATTGATTAAACTTCTTTTTGTAAATTTACATGGATTAAGAGCCTTTAGCAATGTGTACTCCCTTTTTAGCTCACCTGTCACAAAGTGACAGGGTGAGCTTTTGTGATCGCTTTTCGTCCGTCCGTCCGTCGTCCGTAAACTTTTACTTTAAATGACATCTCCTCATAAACCACTAGGCCAATTTCATCCAAACTTCACAGGAATGTTCCTTTGGTGGTCACCTTTAAAAATTGTTCAAAGAATTTAATTCCATGCAGAACTCTGGTTGCCATGGCAACCGAAAGAAAAAAACTTTAAATATCTTCTTTTAAAAAACCCTAAGAGCTAGAGCTTAGATATTTGGCATGAAACATCTTCTAGTGAGTGTCTACCAAGTTTGTTCAAATAAAAGCCCTGGGGTCAAAATTGGCCCGGTCCTAGGGGGTCATTGATTTTCCCTATATGCATATAGTAAACACTTAAAAAATCTTCTTTTAAAGAACTCAGAGAGCTAGAGCTAAGATATTTAGCATCAAACATGTTCTAATAGGTGTCTACCAAGTTTGGTCAAATAAAAGCCCTGGGGTCAAAATTGGCCCCGCCCCGGGGGTCATTGATTTTCCTTATATGTGTATAGCAAAAACTTAAAAAATCTTCTTTGAAAAAACCCAAATAGCTAGAGTTTAGATATTAAGCATGAAATATCTTCCAGTGAGTGACTACAAAGTTTGTTTAAATAAAAGCCCGGGGGTCATTGATTTTCCTTATATGTGTTTAGCAAAAACTTAAAATCTTCTTTGAAAAAACCCAAATAGCTAGAGTTAAGATATTAAGCATGAAACATCTTCTAGTAAGTTTTAAACTTTTTAAAAGTTTTATACTCTTTTTCACTTCTATATTTTTCTTTGATAATCTGTCTTTGGATATTTCCAACTATTTGCATCATATTTTACAGTCATGAAAGGGACCAGAAATCTGTTGAGTATGAGTTTGAGACTATACATAATTTGAGTATCTGGGGCTGTGAGCTGGCCCCTACAACTAGGGATGGTTTACGGAGCTGGAACATGAGTGTACAGTATTGGCTAGCTGCGTATGTTCATAGACGTTTACCCAGGTCCTATGGTGCCATGAGGTTTGTACCTTAATTTAAGCCTTGATTGGTCTGCAGATTATTCATGTACTTACTGATATTGTTAATTGATATTTTTTTCACTTTTGCAATATTGCAAATTCATATTTTTTTCACTTTTGCAATATTGCATTTAGGGGTAAAAATGTAAAATGTCCTACTTTTTTTCATGACTGTGTTAGTAAGATATAAAATTTAATAATTATTTTTTCTTTCTCTTAGATTATGGTTAAGCCTTTTGATTTCTCAACTGCTGACTTGATTTCCTATTAAGATTTTTGTTGAATTCTTTTACAACTTTGTATGAGCTGCTAATACAGCAACTGTGATTCTATGAAATATCTTCTTACTTTCAAGTAATATTCAACATATTGAATAAAGCAGGGGCATTATCATGCGACGACTAGGGTATCTGTATGACATACACAAATCTTTTTAACCGCCTCCGTGGTCGAGGGGTTAGAGTTGATGACTTCTAATCCAGTTACCTCTCTGGCGTGGGTTCGATCCCCGGGAGATGCTTTGGTAGTTTAGCTTGGAGGAAGGTAGTCTAGTACTGGTGTAACTCTCCAGGAACGATGGTTAGGAAGCTACCCGCCTATATGACTGAAATACTGTTGGGAAAAGGCGTAAAATGAAACAAACAAACAAATCTTTTTCTTCCATCGTACAATAAGTATACTATATTCTAGATTATGAAAAAATTGTTTCATTTCAGGGTAGCAATAACTATGGGGGTGAGTGCATTTTGGCATGGAATACATCCAGGATATTATCTTAGCTTCCTGACGGTGCCCCCCATTCTGATCGCGGAGGATCTCATGATCGCAGCTTTCCGTAAGGGCTCGGCAACGCAGCTTCACCTGTTTGACTGGGCGTGCTGGTTTTTCAAGATGCGCGGCTTCGACTACAACTGTATGGGATTCTTGCTATTAAGTTTAGAACACACTTTAGGATACTGGAGTACCATATATTTTATACCACATATAGTTATCTTTATTTTTATCGTTATTGGACTTGCGTTGAAATCTTTGAAAAAATCAAAAAAGAAGAAGAGTGAATGATATTTTTATAGGTTATTTAATGTTAAAGTAGATTTTTTTTTAAAGAAATTTTTATATTATATAGACTATTGTTAAGTTTATTGGTGGAGTAGCATTCCATGTGTATTAGTTTTAAATACAATCTTAGATATGTTATTCAAAATGTTTGATTTTTATATCATGGGTTGACCTTGTTTAATCAGATAATGTTGAGCAGGTAAGATCATTAAGAGGGAAATTTTTAATTAAACCAATTGATATCTAGTTAAATCTTTCTCATTTTTTTTCACTAAAGACTACTTAAATTATCTGGAAGGGCTTATTACAACTAGACATGGTTTATAACTGGACGTTTTACTATATTTTGATAAGTTATTTTGTCACTGAAGACTGGTCAGTTTTATGACCTTATCTATGTCTTTTACACTGTCAGAGTATGATAAATTGTTCTTTAAAATACTACTTACATGTATTATTTTACAGTATCTTTACTAACTTACTTTCTTTACATATACATTATCATAAGTTGCAATATTGTTAGTCACATTTTTGATAAATGTATGTCATATTTGTAATTTTGTAAGAGAACAAATTGTGTTAACTTATTGCTAGTATATTTTGATAATAATTGTGTGATGTAAATGTAACACAGGTATGAATATATGCACTATTTATTTGATTGTAATATATTCGTTGATGCAAGTTGTTCAAAATTGGCAAAAAAATCATTTTTCTAACTTTTCTTACATAGATTTTTGTGACAATTATTTTCTTCTGTTTTCACACAAAAATAGGAAAGGAAACACAATGTACCTGAATTATGTAGAGCAACTGTGATCTCTATGCTAAATCTTTATGTCTTCCATACATGATCTATGTAAATTTGTTGTCAATAAAATACTGTTAGTATGTAGTATAGGATGATTGAAATCCAGATGTTCTATATAGCTTTACTTTTAACATACACTACCTTATTGAAGTCAGGGGTATAGCTTGGTTTACATTCATGTGAAGGCCAAATTGTGAGGTGGTAACTTTAACAATTACAGATAGATATCATTTGTATTCTTTGATACCTTTTGTATACCCCATTTTTTCCAATTACACAAAAAACATATCATTTTTGTAAATTACCGCATACACTAACCTGCATTTTCAAATTGAATCTTATTTGGCATTTTATTTTTTACCCGCCTTAAAGAATGTGTAGGCCAAGACCTATATAAAGCTACACCCTGGTAATGTTATTGGCCTAATAATATATATAGGACATTGAATGAATGCAGATTTAATACTAAATTTATTGAACAAGTTGAATAATATTGTTTTATTCAACAAATAAATTTAGTATTGAATATACACAAATATAATATTCTATTATTATTAGTGGCATATTGTAATTTTTTAGTTTAATGCTATGTTTGTATATAACGTAAATTTTGTCACATCAAAGTGTTATACTAGTGTAATATTGTTTTTATTAAATGGCTTTATTACACTCCTGTGGCATGGTTTGTGATAAAATATATTTTGCTAATGATATAGTTTATCAGAAACCCTTGCTGCTTTTAAGACTCGGTAAAAATGGTATTGCACGGCCGTGCATATAATTTGACGTGACATCATTTGTATTATACAAATAGTGTTTAGAAGCGCAAAAATGTTAGCGTTATACAATAGGCCTGTAAATGAAAAATGGTCCTTTTTCACATCAAACAGTCTTTATTTTTGGTATGTGATAATTCATGAAAGTTCATTACTGAATTTATTGAACTCATTTAATAAAGTAATATTATGCTCCCCAGAGCTCACATAATATAATTTCATCCAACTTGTTCAATAAATTCAGTATTAAACTTATCCTCTTTATAGTGTTAATATAATTGTTATAAATTTGTACTAATGGCATTTTTTAATTGAGCTCTTGATTCATTATACAATTATTTTGTCTTAATATGTAACAAATACATTATTTCACAGTGTTCATTGCCGAAGTGAAATTGATTTTTCTCATTGTGTTCTAAAATGTATGTTTTACACAATATTAATATACATGTATGTCTTATATTGTCAATGTTGTTGATTTTTCATGTTTGGTCGGAATCCTTGACACTTTTTTTATATTTTATTGTTTATAGAAGATTCTTACATTTGTCAAGACATACACTTGGTGCTTACTACTAGAAAGTTACTAGATCTAAGTACTTCTGTGGAAAATGCATCACATTTAATATTATAACTGGCCTTTTATCTATTAGCGGCACTTTCAAGTTTTATACGATCAATGTTATTGTGATGAAGAACTTTGCTTTGTTTATGCTCTTTTATGTTAAGAGAAAATTTTGATAAAATAATTTATGATTAGACTTATAATAATTGTAAAAATTATGAAATCCGCATTTTAATATTTATATTTTGAATAAGGCTTGTAGTGAACAAAGTGTTTACCGCAGTAAGTGTTAAGTACCTGTATTCTACATGAGAAAATGTGATCACTTTAATCCATCTGTGGTTTTCTTGTACTTAGCCAACCATTGGCTCAATTAGATCATTCATGAATATTAAATATATCTTAAGATATAATAGTTGATGCAGTCACCATTCTTTATACTTATATTTTAAATTTTATACAAAATTTATCCACTAATTATTGTATGAGAGATGATCATTGAAGTAAAAACATTATATTGAATGAGACTTAACATATTTGGTTTCCAGATCTTTCATCTAAGCCTAAGCAGTTCTTGCTATTCAGACTTGTGTTTATGCATACCCCATGTCAATAATTTGAAGTGGCAGTCGAGATATTCCCTATTCCGTTACTTGCAGGAATGAACCTTTATCATCAGTGTAGAACCATGACAGCCTGCACCTGCATGCAGTCTTACCAGGCTCTATACTGTTAGTAGCTTATTTTTTTTGAATACTGAATACCCTGTAAACTTAAAATGGACTGTTCCAGATGCAAAGCATAAATTCAGTAGATTAAGCGTTAACTGACAGCAAGTTTTGATTTGAAGTAACTGTTACAAACAAGAAAAAGATTGTTTAAAAATTGTGTAAAACATAGCATAAAACAAATTATAAAGTTGGATTGTATGATTTTTTTATAATGGAGTTACTAACGGTGGTAAATTGAAAACATTTTCAAGGCTTAATACAAATATGTCTCTATTTATATTTATTATATATGCATAAAATTTGCTCAATATTTTAAATGACAAAAAAAAAAGAGATCAAAACTTATTACATGATATGTTAACATAAAAAAAGATCAAAACTTATTACATGATATCATATGTTACCACATATTTTCTTCGATATTTTGCCTGCTTACACCAATTATTGGAAGCATGACAGGAAAATGAAGAGACACAATGGAGTTTTGTACAGTTGTAATCGACAAATATTTGTTAAAAACCTTGTATATAAAGATATAACAGAAAACTATCAAGTACTTGTAAGCCAAGGCTGCGATCATTGGCAGTAACCTTATGTTATTGTTAACAGATGTCTCCTGATCACATATTTTGTCATAGCCAAGTGATTTGGCAGAATATTAAATCAAATAATGAGGAATGTTAGATATTTTTTTTGTTTGTTCATTTTTATAAGGGAAAAAATCCATTTTCATGCTTTAAAGCTGCATACAGATGACCCAAAATATTTCAAGAAAATCAACTTTATGAAAATTGTAAGATTTTCAGATGAATATTTTTTTTCCAATTCAAAACTTGTTTTACATGTTTTATGGTATGACTAACAAAGTAGGGGCTATTTTTAGCTCACCTGTCACAAAGTGACAGGGTGAGCTTTTGTGATCGCTTTTCGTCCGGCGTCCGTCCGTCCGTCGTCCGTCCGTAAACTTTTGCTTTAAAAGACATCTCCTCATAAACCACTGAGCCAATTTCATCCAAACTTCTCAGGAATGTTCCTTTGGTGGTCACCTTTTAAAATTGTTCAAAGAATTTAATTCCATGCAGAACTCTGGTTGCCATGGCAACCGAAAGAAAAATCTTTAAATATCTTCTTTTAAACAACCCTAAGAGTTAGAGCTTAGATATTTGGCATGAAACATCTTCTAATGAGTGTCTACCAAGTTTGTTCAAATAAAAGCCCTGGGGTCAAAATTGGCCCCGCCCCGGGGGGTCATTGATTTTCCCTATATGCATATAGTAAAAACTTAAAAAATCTTCTTTTAAAGAACTGTAAGAGCTAGAGCTAAGATATTTGGCATGGAACATCTTCTAGTGAGTGTCTACCAAGTTTGTTCAAATAAAAGCCCTGGGGTCAAAATTGGCCCCGCCCCAGGGGGTCATTGATTTTCCCTATATGCATATAGTAAACACTTAAAAAATCTTCTTTTAAAGAACTGTAAGAGCTAGAGCTTAGATATTTGGCATGAAACATCTTCTAATGAGTGTCTACCAAGTTTGTTCAAATAAAAGCCCTGGGGTCTAAATTGGCCCCGCCCCGGGGGGTCATTGATTTTCCCTATATGCATATAGTAAAAACTTAAAAATCTTCTTTTAAAGAACTGTAAGAGCTAGAGCTAAGATATTTGGCATGGAACATCTTCTAGTGAGTGTCTACCAAGTTTGTTCAAATAAAAGCCCTGGGGTCAAAATTGGCCCCGCCCCAGGGGGTCATTGATTTTCCCTATATGCATATAGTAAACACTTAAAAAATCTTCTTTTAAAGAACTGTAAGAGCTAGAGCTTAGATATTTGGCATGAAACATCTTCTAGTGAATGTCTACCAAGTTTGTTCAAATAAAAGCCCTGGGGTCAAAATTGGCCCCGCCCCAGGGGGTCATTGATTTTCCCTATATGCATAAAGTAAAAACTTAAAAAATCTTCTTTTAAAGAACCCAAAGAGCTAGAGCTAAGATATTTAGCATGAAACATCTTCTAGTGAATGTCTACCAAGTTTGTTCAAATAAAAGCCCTGGGGTCAAAATTGGCCCCGCCCCAGGGGGTCATTGATTTTCCCTATATGCATATAGTATAAACTTAAAAAATCTTCTTTTAAAGAACTGTAAGAGCTAGAGCTTAGATATTTGGGATGAAACATCTTCTGGTGAATGTCTACCAAGTTTGTTCAAATAAAAGCCTGGGGTCCAAATTGGCCCCGCCCCAGGGGGTCATTGATTTTCCCTATATGCATAAAGTAAAAATTTTAAAAAATCTTCTTTTAAAGAACTGTAAGAGCTAGAGCTAAGATATTTGGCATGAAACATCTTCTAGTGAATGTCTACCAAGTTTGTTCAAATAAAAGCCCTGGGGTCAAAATTGGCCCCGCCCGGGGGTCATTGATTTTCCCTATATGCATATAGTAAAAACTTAAAAAATCTTCTTTTAAAGAATCGTAAGAGCTAGAGCTTAGATATTTGGCATGAAAACATCTTCTAGTGAATGTCTACCAAGTTTGTTCAAATAAAAGCCCTGGGGTCAAAATTGGCCCCGCCCCAGGGGGTCATTGATTTTCCCTATATGCATATAGTAAAAACTTAAAAAATCTTCTTTTAAAGAACCCAAAGAGCTAGAGCTGAGATATTTAGTATGAAACATGTTCTAATGGGTGTCTACCAAGTTTGTTCAAATAAAAACCCTGGGGTCAAAATTGGCCCCGCCCCGGGGGTTATTGATTTTCCTTATATGTGTATAGCAAAAACTTTTAAGACCTTCTTTGAAAAAACCCCAAATTGCTAGAGTTTAGATATTAAGCATGAAACATCTTCTAGTGATTGTCTACAAAAAGTGTTCAAATAAAAGCCCAGGGGTCAAAACTGGCCCTGCCCGAGGGGTGTCATTGTTTTTAACTGTATGTGTATAGTAAAAACTTAAAAAATCTTCTTTTAAAAAACCCAATGAGCTAGAACTTAGATGTTTTGCATGAAACAACTTCCTATGGGTGTCTACCAAGTCTGTTCAAATAAACAAATAGAAGCCCTTGGGTAAAAATTGGGCCGGGGGGGGGGGGGGCTATATACAGGTGAGCGACCTCAGGGCCATCATGGCCCTCTTGTTGCATATTCTGACCTAATTTTGATAACATTCATAGATTTTAAGTACAGTTTGTAATCTGTAAATTACTTTCTGATTTTATCCAAAAAAAAAATGTTTCATTAAATGTTAACATTCTTACATTTGTGTAAACCATAATATTTTTGTACAGTTTATATGTTTGTTCTATATTTATGATAATGCATATATACATATATCTTTTTATCAATAAATGTTATCAATTTAAATATATAAATGTTGTTTTTTTTATGCCACTGCAGCATCTGTGATGCTGTGGCAGATAGCGATTCCCCTTTGTGTGTGTGTGTGTGTGTTTGTACGTTTGTCTGTTATATAGTGAACTTAAAAAATCTTCTTGTGAAAAACCACTAGTCCAATTTCTACCAAACTTTTGGTTCCTTGGGTAAAGGGCTTCCAAAGTTGTTCAAAGAATTCTATTCCATGCAGAAATCTTTAAGTAATTATAAGAATAAATTTCAAAAATCTTCTTGTAAAGACCCACACAGCCTAGAACTTAGATATTTTACATAAGGCTTTGTCTGGTAGACCTCTACAAAGATTTTTTAAAAATTGGCCCTGCCCCAGGGTCATTGATTTTTCTCTATGTACATTTAGTAAAAACTTAAAAAGTCTTCTTGTCTGAAGGTACAAGGCTTAGAGCTTTGATATTTTGTATATATCATCTATAGGTCCTCTACCAAAGTTGTTCAAGTTTCGCCTCTAGTGTCAAAATTTGGCCCTGCCCCAGGGGTGGATAGGTTTTCCTTAACACATATTTAGTAAAAACTTGAAAAGTCGTCTTCTCTTGAATATAGTAACAAGAGGGCAATGATGGCCCTGAAGTCGCTCGCCCGTATATAGGCCCCAGAGCGGGGCCAGGGCTTTTTATTTGAACAAACTTGGTAGACACCCATTAGAAGATGTTCATGCCAAACATCTAAGGTCTAACTGGTTGAGTTTAAAAAAAAAAAAAAAAATTAAGTTTTAACTATACACATATAGTTAAAAGCAATGACACCCCTAGGGCGGGGCCAGTTTTGACCCCAGGGCTTTTATTTGAACAAACTTTGAAGACACTCACTAGAAGATGTTTCATGCTTAATATCTAAACTCTAGCTATTTGGGTTTTTTTCAAAGAAGATTTTTAAGTTTTTGCTTTACACAATTTTGACCCCAGGGCTTTTATTTGAACAAACTTGGTAGACACCCATTAGAAAATGTTTCATACTAAATATCTTAGCTCTAGCTCTTTGGGTTCTTTAAAAGAAGATTTTTTAAGTTTTTACTATATGCATATATAGGGGAAATCAATAACCCCCGGGGCGGGACCAATTTTGACCCCAGGGCTTTTATTTGAACGACTTGATAGACACTCACTAGAAGATGTTTCATGCCAAATATCTAAGCTCTAACTCTTTGGGTTTTTTAAAAGAAGATATTTTAAGTTTTTTCTATCAGTTGCCAATGGCAACCAGAGTTCTGCATTGAATTAAATTCTTTGAACAATTTTTAAAGGTGACCACCAAAGGAACATTCATGTGAAGTGTTTGGATGAAATTGGCTTAGTGGTTTATGAGGAGATGTCATTTAAAGTAAAAGTTTACGGACGCCGGACGAAAAGCGATCACAAAAGCTCACCCTGTCACTTTGTGACAGGTGAGCTTAAAAACAGAAACTAAAAATGTTTTCTGAATAGTACAACGCTACAAACTTAGATTTTTGACATAAAACTATGTCTGGTGGACTTGTTGTATCAAGATTGTATGAATTAAAAAACCCTTTTGTCAAATTTTGCCTAGCCCAAGGGGGACAGTGACCTACTTTCTTTGTCCTTTGATGTGCAGCTATTTAATTTGGATCACGTGCACAGTTTGAGATTTAGAATTGAATATTAATAATCAGTCAACCTACACTACTATTTATGGTGGCATAGCATTTTTTACAAAATGAATCTTGCTTTTCACTTTTTATAATTGTAACCAACAGGGAGCTGTGGACTAGTGAATACGATGCCAGCACCTCAACCTAGAAGGTTAAGAGGTCAAGTCTTGTAGGAGACACTGCCATGTTTTTTAAACAAAACCTCTATACTGGGTTAATCCAGAAGTGCCAGCCAATAATGCTTTTCACAAAATCAGACTAAAGATAAAACACATATATACAACTTAAATTGTGTTTGGATTATATTTCTTCATTATCTTTTGCACATCTTTCTGTTTTTTAAAGTGTCCATGCTGATATTAAATTTTGTAAGAAATTCAAACTGTTATCTTTTTAGGCTTTTGGACCTAAAGTGAGTTCCGTTTAAAATTAACTAGCCAACCAGGTACATTTTATCCATATTCACTAAAAAAAAAAAAAAACACCTGCCTGATGAGTGACAGGGCAATTTGTTTTGGTTGGTGATTTAGTCATACCCAAAAGGTATGTTCATATGTCATCATTCTTCAAAACTCCCAACAAACCTCTGAGCACTTGCCTGTGAAAGAATGAACACTTTAGTGGAGCAACTATCCTTCTGCAAGGCTTCATGATAACTCCACAATTATCCAATACCTTATAGAATTTGAACAGACAACAGCAAGGGGAAAGTTACTCAAGTATGGCCATGTAAGCCACTCTACTATGACAAACTTGCAAATCAGACTAGTGTTGGCCCAATAACAAACCATTAAATACACAACCAAGGTACATTAATTCATGTTTATTTACTGATTTTTATATGTTCATAATAAAAACCCCTATCTAGTCACTTCTGAGTAATCAAGTTATTTTGGCAAAAGTCATAGCTGTCTGAATTTTTCCATTTTCTTCTCTACCAGGCAATATAACAACAAATAAACTGTTACTAGGAAGTCCCATCAGGATTTTCCAGAATCGACGATCCAGCTTCCATAAACATTTCTGAAAGAAAAATTAATTTGATTATATAATAAAATTGTTGTTAGATATATAATAATGTATAGTATTTTTTTTTAAAAAAGTAATCTTAATTTAAATTTTTTTTATAATTTTTACAAAAAGAAGGGGGTCCCAAAAATGGGTAATTAATTAAGATGCCAAAAAAACCCTTTTTTAACCCAAAAATTTAAAATTTTAAATAAAACCACAAAAAAAACATGTCCGTAGTTGACCCAAAAAAATAAAATTAATGCAACTTGATTGACCTTATTTCTATTAAATATAAAATTTATTGATTCACAAGTAATTAATGTTACTGAAAGTTATATCGGCTAGATTAACCCCTTTAGCCTGCCGGTGGCAACAGATGTGACCAGTGTTGATACGCTCCTGTCAACTGAGGCTATTCAGACATAATAATTGAGCCGTGTCACGACAAAACCAACATAATGGGTTTGCGACCAGCATGGATCCAGACCAGCCTGCACATCCGTGCAGTCTGATCAGGATCCATGCTGTTAGCTATCAGTTTTGCTACTTGTAATAGGGTTGGTAAGCAAACAGCATGGATCCTGATCAGACTGCATGGATGCGCAGGCTGGTCTGGATCCATGCTAGTCGCAAATGCATTATGTTTGTTTTGTTGTGACGCAGCTCAATTATATTTTGAAATTTTCCTTAACAAAGATGATGTTCATTTACATGGGTGAAAGTTGGAAATTTAAAAAATCCTGAATTAGCAGTTTTTTTTATGATTTACTTTGGAAATAGGGAAAGGGGTGCAGGAGCCCCGAAAAACCTGGAAACTTCAGGGAAAAATCCTGAAAACTTTTCCCCCATGCATTTAAAAAAACATACCCCTTGGGGGAAATTAAAAAAGCTCATTTATATTTAAAAGGTTTGACCCTTTTTTGCTTGCATTTTCCTATCTTACCAGAAAATAATACCTAAGGGGCCCTAAGGCATCAAATTCTTAACCATATTGTCTTAAAATTGCATACCCATTTGAAATTGGATCTTTTGAAATTCAAAGCATGATGATCATATAAGATTATCCTGAGGCAAAATTAAAAAATTCTTTTGAATGATTAGTCCACTTTTCAATTCATTTTAGATAAGTAAAATAGATAGATTTACTTGGTAAAGGAAATTAAAATTTGTGTTTTAATGCCAAAAAAGAAATTTCAAATCCTTTATTTCAGATTACCACTTACAATGTTAATATTAAAGCCACCAAAAATTTTCCGAGCTTAATTATACATGTATGTATACTAATAGACCCTATCTTTGTATACTCACTTTTATCTCTTCGTCATCATCTGATTGGTCAGCACATATCTCTTTTGAATTGCTTTCATCTGATTGGTCATCACTCAACTGAGAAGATTCTGATTGGTCATCACTCTCACTCTTTATCAATTTAGGGGATTCTGATTGGTCATCTCTTTCATTCTTTATTGATTTGGAGGATTGTGATTGGTCAGGTCCCTGCTTTCCATTCAAATTGCTTATTTCCGATTGGTCAAGCTTTCTTTTTTCTTTCAAATATTTTTTAAAACCATATAAATGTGTAAAGCAAAATCCAACATCTTTAATTTTGTCTATTGTTTGTTTTTCACTCTCCTTATCTTTCATGCAAGTAATAATTGGTAGGTCTTTAGGATACAAATCCAAACTGCTTGGCTCATCAATTATTGCACCTGAAATTTAAATTTACATGTTTGTATTCACAAAGGGTGAAAAACAATAATACAGGAATTCACAGTTTTGCAGTATTTCCACTTGCACAATATAGAGATTACTTCATGGTTTAAATGTTAGTTTTTCTATAACATTATTTTCAGTCACATACAAGTATCCTGAAAGTCTTAAATTTTTTCTTACAGAGGCTCCCATCTTCTTAAAAAGTTTAAGGTTACCAATAACTAATACTGGCACATTTTATGGTTTCATTTTTTACATAAATGGTGTACATTAAATTTTAAAATACTGGGCTTACCGTCTCGTCTTTGAAGTCTATTATTCCGTATTCTTACAATAAAATTCTCAATGAATTTACTGCCTTCATTTTGAAAGAATAGGCGTCTTTTCCATGTATTGGATTTGTTTTCACTCTGCGTTGTTATGGTTTTAGTCAAATTTGAACACTCGCCAGAGTCTGTTGTAGAATTACCACTTTCTTTCATGTCTTTATCTTCTTCTACAGTTTCAACTGTGATATCCTTCAACTTTTTATCTGTATCTGTACTTTCTTCACATTTAGAATTACTATTATCATTAGTCACTTCTGTGTTTTCACTAGATTTATCAGTGATCATTTCAACAAGTTCGTCTTTATCATCATCATCATCATCAACATTATCTGATGTTATTGGAGATTCATCTACACTGTCAGTAACAGAATTAGATAAATCTGGTTCAAGCATTGATATATCACCAAACTCAATATCTGAAATATAAAAATGTGTTGCAAAAATAAACAACCACCATTTTAAGAGCTTGAAACATTTTTAATTTGTTATGAAGTCAGTTTCAAAATTTGTCATTTAAGCTTTCAAGAATGACAAAAGAAACAATGCAAAAGTTGACTTCTGAGCTTTAAAAGATAATTAATATTTTCAAGATCTAAAACCATTTGTATTAAACTTAAATGGCTATAAGCCTGCTGTGACTTATTTTAATCATGCATTTGGTGCATAGTATTATATAATGTGTCATATTTTTACATCCTTACAAGATTTCATAAATCCATTGTAGCAAACAACAGTAAAATCAGTTTATTCACAGACAGGTGAAGAGGGTTGATATATTTTTAAGCTGACTATTCTCAGTGCTTGACAATGAGAAAAAGGGCATAACTCTGTAAAAAAGACTCATAGTGATAGTACCTTAACATATCATGTAAAATAAACAAAGTCAACAAAAGTGTCCAGTTTTAACCCATTGCCTTCAGTAGTTTTGGAGATACCAACTTGCACAAAAAACTAAACCAAAATGGGACGTCCAAGCAGGGTGAGTACAATAGCTCTCCCTATTCTTCAAAAAGTCAAGCTAAAAATGTATTACTATTTCTTAGCTTGAGAAGAACAAGTTCCATGGTAGCCTGAGCATCTTCTACTGAGCTGTGACCTCCTGAACCTTCTTGAATCCCCTTTCTGTAAATATAACAAATTCATATAACTACAGGTACAGTATATCATTAATGTGTTAGACAATAGAGTGCTTATACTTGAAATGTTTCAGTGTATAAGTATTTTCTGCCTTATATTTTACCTCATATATTTGTCCATAAAAAAAAGGAGCCAAAAAATTATGTCATGTTTTCTTATTGTATGCGGCCTAGTTACAAAGTAAAATATAAAATATATAGCATAATGTAAAATAGGCCTTTATACACAATGACTAATATACTATAGGCCATGAATCTGTTTCATATAGGAAAAAACAACTCAAATGAAGAACAGGTAATTCTTTTCATGTATTCCATCATTTAAATCTATCACATGTTTCAAAATAGATATTAAAAACTTTGGAAAGCTTACTCACTGATCCGTAAACAAGAATTTATCAACAGTCTTCTCTCTTTTCTAATATTTTGAAAACATGCCGTTACATCATAAAAAATTTGAAATATATACCTGAGAAATATAGAAGAAAGTCTTTTCAATCCAGCTTTCATATTCCTGTTTCCTGTAAGGTTGTATATGACACTTGTGTCTATAATGTATGGATGAAAAATCTGAAATATAAAAAGTGTTTGCCTTATGTTCTTAACAAAAAAATACTACACTTACAATCATTTTCACAATGTCAACATTAAATTATTGGACAATTTAAATGTTCTCAAATAAGGTTTTATTTCAAAATTGAAGATGAGGGCCAAAAGCAAATTTGTACATAATTCATAACATAGAATTTGATAATGAAGAAAAATAGACTACTTTCTAAATGCAATTTCAAATTTAAAATAGAAAAAAAATCAACAAAGACAAAAATTTGCCTGAAATTACTGATCTGAAAATAAGCTGCAATGCCTGGCCACCAACCCCTTCCATACCTTACATGACATGAGAAATCCATAAATTTTTCTTGTAAAAAATTACAACCTTACATGACCTGAGAACTCCATAAATTTTTCTTATAAATAATTACAAGTGTTTTGTTTATGTAACATACCTTCATACTAGAGAGATCACTACAGATGGACTGTCCACACAAGATGGCGTCAGGAGGGAGAAATGCCTGTATGACTCGCTGTACATCTTGTATCCTAGTTCTTACAGGATCTAATATCTTCTTTGTTATACCACTGAATCTGTATAAACAAACAGAGGAATGATAACAATTCTTCTCGCAACCCTCTTAGATCCCTTCTGAATCAAACTAGAACTATCACTAAATGTGATTAATACCCCCACAAGTCTGCTTCGGAAATGAGGATGTTACTAGTAACAGAATACCTTGAAAAAGAATTGAAACATAGAGTTATGGTTGTGGGCAATTAAAGATAATTGTGGTTCATGTATGTTGCATTTCTTTTCAATGTGGTTGGCCATTGATGAAGTTTAGATTGAATTTACTCTGTAATAAGTCCAGAAAAGACAAAAAAAGAACAAAGGGCAAATAACTCTATAAATACTGAAGAAATATAGAGTTATAAAATTTTTGTGGGGCCTGCATTTCCTTTATTGTGCTTGACCTTTGTATGAAGTTGTTTTGGATTTCCCCAAAGTCGTTTTTAAGTTATCTCCGGACAAGGGAAAAGTATTAAAGGGCAGTAACTTTGTATTTTTCAAAAATGGAATTATGGCTTCTTGTGCAATCTGCATTTCACTTTTAATGTCCTTGAAACTGTATGAAATTGTAACTGGGAAATTCCAAACAGTAGTTTTTCAAGTTTAGGCTCTAAACGAGGGGAAAAGGGTAACAAAAGGGCAAATAATCTTGTAATTAGTTCAAGGGATGAAGTTATGGTTCCCTTGTGCACTGCACTTCCCCTTATTGTGCTTGACCATTGAAATGAAGTTGTTTTTGAATTCCAAAACTGTAGTTTTCAAGTCATGCTCTGGACAAGGAAAAGTAACAAAGGGCAGTAACTCTGTAATTAGTCAAGATGGAGTTATGGTTTTTTGCACTGCACTTCCTCTCAATGTGCTTGACCATTGTATGAAGTTATAATGAATTCCAACAATAAGTTTTCCAGTTATGGTCCGGACAAAGAAAGCAATGGAAAAGTAACAAAGGGCAATAACTCTGTAATTAGTCAAGATGGAGTTTTATGGTTTCTTGTGCACTGCACTTCCCCTTATTGTGCTTGACCATTGTATGAAGTTGATTTTTTGAATTCCAACCAGTAGTTTTAAAGTCATGCTCTGGACAAGGAAAAGAAACAAAGGGCAAGTAACTCTGTAATAAGTTCAAAATGGAGTTTATGGTTCTTGTGCACTGCACTTCCCTCTCAATGTGCTGGACCATTGTATGAAGTTATAATGAATCAATCCAACATTAGTCTCAAGTTATTGGTCCGGACAAAAAAGAAAGCAATGGAAAAGTAATAAAGGGCAATAACTCTGTAATTACTTTAGATAGAGTTATGGTTCTTATGCACTGCACTTCCTTCTCAATGTTGCTTGACCATTGTATGTAGTTATATTGAATTCCAACCATTAGTCTTCAAGTTATGGTCCGGACAAAAAAAAGAAGGCAATGGAAAAGCAACAAAGGGCAATAACTCTGTAATTACTTTAGATAGAGTTATGGTTCTTGTGCACTGCACTTCCCCTTATTGTGTTTTGACAATTGTATGAAGTTGTTTTTGAATTCCAACCAATAGTTTTTCAAGTTATGCCATGGACAAGGAAAAGTAACAAAGGGCAATAACTCTGTAATTAGTCAAGATAGAGTTATGTTTCTTTCGCACTGCACTTCCTCTCAATGTGCTTGACCATTGTATGTAGTTATATTGAATTTCCAACCATTAGTCTTTCAAGTTATGCCTCCGGACAAGGAAAATGCAACGGACAAAAAAAAAAAGCAATGGAAAGCAACAAAGGGCAATAACTCTGTAATTACTATTAGATAGAGTTATGGTTCTTGTGCACTGCACTTCCCCTTATTGTGTTTGACAATTGTATGAAGTTGTTTTGAATTCCACCAGTAGTTTTCAAGTTTATGCCCCCGGACAAGGAAAAGTAACAAAGGGCAATAACTCTGTAATTAGTCATGATAGAGTTATATGGTTCTTGTGCACTGCACTTTCCTCTCAATGTGCTTTGACCATTGTATGTAGTTATATTGAATTCCAACCATTAGTTTTCAAGTTTATGCTCCGGACAAGGAAAATGCAACGGACGTCTGGACCGACCGACCGACCGACGCCCGACCAAAACCGACCGACCGACCGACCACCGGCAGTGATCCTATATACCCCCCCAAACTTCGTTTTTTGGGGGTATAACAAGAGCTGTCACAAACAACATGCTCAACCTTTTCCACCAGCTCAACAATAATATAAGATCTATGCAGGAATTTTCTTAGTTCCCATAAAGAAATAATTCAATAAAAATCCTGGCTAGATTTTTGATATTTCAGCCAGTTACCTACAATCATGATCCTGATGAATCTGCAAGCAAAGTTTATAACCTAGCATAATTATACTCACAAAGGGGAATAACTGATCAAAAACTATGTTAGTATCAGATCTATAATTTTTACAGGTGAAAATTTTTAGTGAATAACCTCGAAAGAAATTACATGCGAAACATTAACTAAAACTTTTATATTCTCACAAAGGGATATAATTCATTAAAGATGTACGACAGTGTTATCAGTCATGGACAATGACCTAACATTACAATTATTATATACAATAATGTTTGAATCTTCAGGAGAATACCTGCAATGGTTAATGGGAAATGGCATTGCATACAAAACTATATCGAAGTATTATGCCATCATTATGATGAGCAGCATAGCTTAATATCCTAGATAAAAATTTATTCAACAATACATTAATTGATACATTGATTTTTCTTATAATAAAAAACACCAGGTTCTTAAGTAAAATGATAAGTACACTAAACAAGACTTAAAACTTACTGTGTTACATAATTAGTAACAGGTGCCCACGGTTTAACAAGCGTGTCATAGACAACCTGTAAGTTCTCATCTACAAATGACACTCTTGCTAGGTCCATACTAGAAGCTTTTGTTTGTACCTACAGAATAAAGAAAATCTTGTATACATTTAAAAGGAAGTAAACTTCATCAATAAATGACTTCATCAATAAATGCAAACCTAAATCTAAGCTTTAAATGGTAATAAAAGAAAACATATAGTTATACAAATATAAGTCATGTTTTGATAAACATTTTTGTCACAGACAAAGTTATAAACTTTCAATAAAAACATGTGCAGGAGTTTATTAATATATAGAGGATACTAAATGAGTGTAGATTCAAAACTGAGTTTATTTAACAAGTTTTATTAGATTATATTATGCGAGCCTCTAGTGAGCATAATATTTTACTCAAATGGTTCAATAAATTAAGTAATGGATCTACATGAATATCATATTCTATTTATCAGATAATCAACATAAAAATTGTATAAAGTGAAAATGATTTTTTGTTATGACATGCCTATAGTGTAAAGCCAACATTAAGCGTGTCTGTACGCTATGTTTCACACATTATAACATACCATTTCACAATCCACTGCAAACAAAGGACTCTTCTCTGTAACTTGCTTGTACTCTCTTTTTGAAAACACAAAACTTTTGTACCTGTCTTAATAAAGAAACAGATATTACAATGATGTTTTTAAATGGTGAGATTGTAAAATTTCATTCAAGTGACAGCCACATTATTTTGTATAAATATAACAACCATCTAACATTATTACTGCCATTATAAATTAAGGCAAAATAAATAAACAATAAAGCGCACAAATGTGTAAACCACTTTACCAGTAATCTGGGAACTCAAATGGTTTAAAATCACAAATAAAATCTAGACATGATCATAGTCCACAAAAATATCCAAATAACAACAATTCCTTCGTTAGATAAAAGACATGTGACACTTTTTCAAATCAATTATAACATTTTTAGGTTAGTGTATGAACCTATTTTCTAAAATCTAATAAATTCAATACATATACTAACTGTTTCCAGTATTGACAGGTGTAGGGATACCCTCACATATCATCTGTGCTGTGTTCAACATTAACCATCTTCGATCATAGTTATCCATCTCGTATGTCGATTCAGATTTATAGACTATCCCACAATCCTCTGTTTTTAATCTCTTATTGTCTACATCTGTCTCATCATTTGATCGCTTCCTTTTCTGCCCTGGTGTTTCACTATCAAAGAATTCTAAAGGATTCTCTGCTAAAGAGTTTACAGCCTTTGCCAGATCCCATGCCTGTATACTCTCATTGGAATCTGGATTCTTATGAATCTTTTTTTCATCATTTTTGAATGTTTTCTTCTTTTCTACAGAATAAAAAGAACAATGACTTTGAATTGTATTCATACATAATTATGTTTTAACTACTTTAAAAGAAATATGATTGCATGATACTGCATTTCATATACATTACTGTTTACATAATGTTTAAAGATCATATTACTTCATGCACCATTCCCCCCTAAAAAAGGATATATTTTTCAGAATATTTCAATGTCAAGGTCATTTTTTGAGTGAATGTCAAGATATGTGTTGTTAAATTGAAAGTTCATCCTAAAAGATTACCATGTTCAAGTTTGAAGACAATCCATTCAAAAATAACAAAGTTATAGCCACAAAAAGGAAAAATCAGGAAAAAAGCAAAATTTAGACACTTGACCTTGAAATTCAAGGTCATTTATGAATGAAGATCAAGGTTAGTCTGGTATACTTAAACAGCTTGTCCCAAAGATTGTTTTGGCCAAGTATGAGGGCAATATACAAAGAACTTAAAAAGTAATGATCAAGGTTAAAGTTTTCGAACAACAATGCCAAGGTGATTGTAACAATACCTCTATTTTTTTTTATTTTTTAAAAGTAGAGCTTAAAATCAAAGGTAATGCATAATGTTTACCTAACAATCCTTTTTTCTTCAGCTGTGTAATACTGATAGGAACATTCATAATGTCCTCCCTGGCAGAACTTCCATATTGTAGAGGAGATATCATCTCTACATGCTGAAATAATAATACAGTAAAAAGCTGGGTGCTAGAGACAATAATAACAGGTTTATGCATAATGTATATATACTATACCAGCAGAGTTAAGCCAGGCAAGCTAGCCAGCATACATGTATCTGTAAGTAGACTCAATGTAAATATCAAAAATAAAGTTTTCTACATTTCAAAATCAAAGTACAAATGGGGAAAAATTATTTCACAAATTTAATTAACAATTCAATATCATAATGCATGAATTTACCTCTTTAAAACAATTGAAATTTTTGTTCAAGCATCATTTAAATTTCAAAAAGTTGAGTGTAGTTCTCAATTTCTTCAATATATGAAAACTGTATAATTGCATGAAGATCAAGCCAGCAACCCCTCAAGTACAAATCCGATGTATCCCCTTATTGAGCTAAGTGGTCGAAAGGAATAACATGATATACCCACGTTAATGCAAAGAAAGTGGATGATTTTTGTGTAAAATATTATCATTATCTAATATTTACTAACCATATCAAATGCCTGAGTCAGTGTGGGTAATGACTCTGGATATTTTTTGAATTCCTCACTGCTTAAAGAATCTAACACAACTGCTACAACTTTACATACTTTACCAACTCTTAGCAGACGACACCATCTGTAAATGAAAAACACAAGATAATCTTTATACATAATTCCCAATTTGTATCACTGTATTAGAATTTGATTCATTTTAAAAAAAACAAGTTAAATGTTGTCTGCCATATACTGATATAAATGAAAGTTTTCTTATGGTTGAACCACAATATAACTATACTAAGAATAAGGTAAACGCCAAACTGGAAGCTTTAGTGCTCAGCATAAAGATTGAAGTTCTAGGAATGTTTGTCTATTATCAGTATAATTAAGACTGGATAAGGTATATAAGATATAAGATAATGCTTTTTCTAAGACAAAATTTGTCAGTGAAGCTGCATTATAAAGTTGTGAATAGTGACAACAAGAAAACTCTGTTGTCTATTAAACTGAGATTATTTAGGAACAGAACAAAAGGACAGAACAAACATTTTAGGTAAACGTTGAGGCCTATGTCTTAAGTGATAATAGTTTAACCACTATTGGCTCGAACTACCGTTCTCTCGAAAAAATTTGCACAGACCCTCCGAGTTCGAGCGAACGAAGTTCGACTGTACATATCAATAAATAAATGGTGCAAGTGTATAAATTGTGGAGAGTGTATACAACTCATGTTATATATACAATCATTATGTAAATTAAATGCTATTTTCTATGGCGGAACATTATGAGAAAGACATAAAGCAACAATAGTTGAGCTGACTATTGCAAAAATTGGCAAGGAAAGTATTAAGCATTGAAGATGATAAAAGTTTTTTTGGGTTGGGTTTTACATTGTACCAACACTGTAAATGTCATATTGCGACTTTCCAGCATTAGTGGTGGAGAAAGACCTCACATGCCCCTGTGTGCATTATTTCAAGCACAAATGGGTGCCTGAGTAGAACCATCAACATTTCATAAAGTAGCTGGATAACTTCCTCACATGAGGATTCAAACCCACAGCTGTGAGGGGCAAGTAGTTTTAAGTCAACAACCTTCACCGTGTTCACAATTTAGCCATTTACGATCCCCCCACCTCCCCCTCAAAGTGACTTATAAAAAATGTTAGACTACCATACCTAGGTTTGATACTAGCATCTTTCCCTTGGAGGGCATACAAGAGGAGGTGTTGTACATCAGCCATAAAGAGTGGTGGAGGCACCTTGACCTCTCCCACTTCTGTCTGTACGGGATCATCCCGTATAAGCTCATCTAGAGTCAGGAATACCTTTGGCTTCATCTACATAGATAAACACATCTACTGATTAAACTGAGTAAATCAAAAAATGCATTTCCTACAATAATACAATGTCATATTATAATGATTTAAAAATTCTAAAACAGCAATTAACATTATAAACAAATAATAAATTTTTTGGACAAATGATTTGCACCTCATTTACATAAATGTATTTCCAGCTATACAGCACTTATTTAGGTAGACCCAAGTTGCATCTAACTGGATTATCAAATACATCTATAAACAAGGAGGCACTGAGGTAGTAATACTAACACAAACCTTTTGTAAGCTAGCTCAAAAGCTTCTTCACATTGGTTAAAAATCAAAAATTTTAATCATTATGACATGGAATACTGTCCCTTCATTCTATCATAATTATATAACAAAATTACGTAATTATAATTTACTTCATTATATTAATTTATAGCGCTGTATTATTCAATTTACAGACAAAAAGTTACCCTACGACAACTTAGTACATACAAATCTTAATCAAGGGTTAATATCCATAGTTAATCATTTTACTTAATTAAATAAGAAGGACTAAGTATAGGTTAGAGTGCATATTGGGTGTTCTTTGTAAATAAGAAAGCTAAAAAGGAGCGGAGCTTGCGAAGCGACTGTAGCTTTCTTATTTACGAAGAACATCCAATATGCACTCTAACCGGCTTAGTGCTCCGCCCACTTGCGTTTCATAATATAAAGCGTCCAGTTTATATAAAATCTGTTCTATTAAGATTTGTAACCTGAAAATTTGAAAAATCCTCGTCGGTGATTGGTTTAAAAAAAATTGGCGAGCACTAAACATAAATTATTCTAAATTACCATGGCTGCCTTCTGCCTTTCCCTCATCATCTTCTTATACTCAGCAAACATTTCATCAGCTAAACTTTTCTCACCACCAGTTGATGAACTCTGTTTAACACTGTTTTGAGTATCTGATGTTGAACCTTGGTCTGGCATATCTGGCTTTTCCAGCTACAAAAATAGAGAATATTTATCATATTTATGGCTTATATTTAAACATTAGCCTACTTATTGAAGTCACAGAAATACATTGATAAATGTATTCAAATGTAATACAAGAAAAGCACTGATGCAAAGCATCAAAGGGCGTCCAAGCAAGAAATGCAGAGATTGAAGATGAACTGGTAGACATATGATGTCAAGATATTCTTATAAACTTTTCAATGGTTAATTGGTTTTTACCAAAATGAACGGACGGAAGACATTGTTCATTATGAACTTTGATTGGCATGCTAGAGATTAGAATATTACTTGTTATTTCTTTATGGTCGTGATTATTAATAGCAACGGATATACATGCATGTATACAATCATTTATAATCCATATGTGTAACGCATGATCAACACCTCACTTGTGGAATTGTCCCTTATTATGTAATCGCTATTAGCGAAGACCCCCTCTTAAGGTATCTGTTCACACTTAGTAAAAATATGACACTGGTTATATTACCATGTCATGTTGAGCATTATTGTTTATTATACAATAATTGTAATATCTATTTTAATAGCAAAAATACAGATTTTATGAATATTGTTTTCCTCTCTTTTTTGTGAGTTTATGTGCTATTTTAATACTGAGTTTTTTTACGTTTACTACTCTTTTTTTTTATTAAAATTGTAAAATAAATTTAAAGAATTCAATTCTCATATTGACCGACGATTATAAGTCAAAACTTAACTGGAAAAAGTCAGTAAATTATGGTTAATCTTTCAATATAATTATAATATTGTTTATTCTTAAACCATGTACATGTACATTTGTATTTTTCTTTATCGTTTTTTAAATTATCAATCAATTTAAATAATTATTAAAATCTAATTTGTAACTTTGAATAATTCCTCGGCATCTTTACTAAACACGAATGACAAATTAAATAAAATGTTTCAAAGTTGATAGTGTCATATTAAAACCATAAAAATGTACCTTTTTTCACAATTATTGTACATATTTATTGTTTTTTATCTCATATAGATAAAATGAAACATGCTATTGTTGTTGTTGTTTTTGTTTTTTTTTTTCGAATTGTATGTTTATGCATAATAATTATCAATAAATTTGAGAGTTGATCTATGTTTATTAATTATTGTAACCAAACTAAGTGACAAACATTCATTTTGGAAAAAAGCTTATTTATCTGTAAAATATTTGTTCTGTTCTGTAACGATATCAAACATCTACTCCAAAACCGGGAGAGACCGGACAATAAACGTGTGATACTATTCGCCGGTCACTAGTTTCCCGGTCAAAATAGACCGGGAGAGACCGGAATTACCGATAGGAGTACATCCCTCTATAAATAGATTTTCGGAATATTTAGGTCATCAACACATCATTCTATTTTAACATACCATGATAACCCACTGTGTACTACAAAATGATAAATAAAAAAACCGAAGAGACGCATTTGAAAATGTTTGCATTGCGAAATCCTCCAGTTCGCTATTCATTGTACATATCGCGACATTTCAGTTTTAATTAATAATAATCAAGCACCCTCATACCGATCGGAATGATCGGCTTTTATTATGACCGACTAAAAGGCTCGAGAAGTTGCTGTCGCCCTTTCACAAAATCTGATTTCATTCCATAAAGGGGCGCTGCGCTTCGGCGCGGACGCCAAAAATGATTTGTTGAGAACTTGTCAGATTCAATTAAATAAACTTTGAAATATCAATCTTGTAGAAATATATACATGTACCTGGAATTATGCCGCAAATTCAATACTATTACATGTTCAAATAAAAACATTTTAACAATCGTACAAAGTACATGTAGCAATGATATATAGGGATCACTTCTCCATGCAATGTCTGTCTGTTTGTACAAAACAAATTGGAACAAGAACCGGTTGAACCGGGTGATGCTCCCCGAGAAGGTTCTGGACACAGGAAAGTATAAAAAAAATGAACAAAGGGCAATAACTCCAAAATTACACCAGGCTTTGTTTAGGTTCTTGAAGCGTTGCAGTTCTATCCAATTATATCTAGCTACCTACAAAGTTTCATGTTGATATCTCTAATAGTTTTAAAGTAATGTCCAGGACAAAAGTCAAAAAGTAAAAATAAACAAAGGGCAATTACTTCAAAATAAGGCAAGGCAGAGTAATGATTCTTAAGCACTGCACTTCCACCCAATGAGACCTATCTATCTACAAAGTTTCATGTTGATATCTCTTATAATTTTAGAATAATGTCCCAGACAAAGTTCAAAGTGTCAAAATGAACAAAGGGCAATAACTACAAAAGAAGGCAAGACAGTGTTACAGTTCTTGTGCACTGCAAACTTACTCAATGAGATCTATCTACCTACAAAGTTTCATGTTGATATCTCTTATACATTAAGAAATATGTCCCGGACAAAGTTCAAAGTGTAAAAAATAAACAAAGGGGGATAATTCAAAAATTAGGCAAGGCAGAGTTAAGGTTCTTGTTCACTGCACACCTACTCAATGAGATCTATATACCTACAAAGTTTCATGTTGATACCTCTTATACTTTTAGAGTTATGTCCCGGACAAAGTTCAAAGTGTAAAATAAACAAAGGGGGATAATTCAAAAATTAGACAAGGCAGAGTTACGGTTCTTGTGCACTGCATACCTACTCAATGAGAACTATCTACCTACAAAGTTTCATGTTGATACCTCTTATACTTTTAGAGTTATGTCCTGGACAAATTTCAAAGTGTAAAATAAACAAAGGGGGATAATTCAAAAATTAGGCAAGGCAGAGTTACAGTTCTTGTGCACTGCACACCTACTCAATGAGATCTATCTACCTACAAAGTTTAGTGTTGATACCTCTTATACTTTTAGAGTTATGTCCTGGACAAAGTTCAAAGTGTAAAATAAACAAAGGGGGATAATTCAAAAATTAGGCAAGGCAGAGTTACGGTTCTTGTGCACTGCACTTCTACTCAATGAGATCTATCTACCTACAAAGTTTCATGTTGATACCTCTTATACTTTTAGAGTTATGCCCCGGACAAATTTCAAAGTGTAAAATAAACAAAGGGGGGTAATTCAAAAATTAGGCAAGGCAGAGTTACGGTTCTTGTGCACTGCACACCTACTCAATGAGATCTATCTACCTACAAAGTTTCATGTTGATACCTCTTATTCTTTTAGAGTTATGTCCCGGACAAAGTTCAAAGTGTAAAATAAACAAAGGGGGATAATTCAAAAATTAGGCAAGGCAGAGTTACGGTTCTTGTGCACTGCACTTCTACTCAATGAGATCTATCCACCTACAAAGTTTCATGTTGATACCTCTTATACTTTTAGAGTTATGTCCCGGACAAAGTTCAAAGTGTAAAAATAAACAAAGGGGAATAATTCAAAAATTAGGCAAGTCAGAGTTACGGTTCTTGTGCACTGCACACCTACTCAATGAGATCTATCTACCTACAAAGTTTCATGTTGATACCTCTTGTTGTTTCAAAGTTATGTCCCGGACAAGAAAAGGGGACGGACGGACGGACGGACGGACGGACGGACGGAAAGACGGACGGACGGCTGGACGGACGGACGGACAAGGCGGCGACTATATGCTCCCCCGAAATTTTTTCGGGGAGCATAATAAAGAGCCATTTCTATTGTTTGTAAATTTCTTTATCTTGTTTAATAGAAGGCTTTTGGCCCCTTCCTCTATTGTTACTGAATGAACCCTATAAGTCACTAAAATTAATATTGTTCTCTTCTGTTCTGTTTAGAGTTAGATGGCCCTATATTCCCATTCAGTAGAGCTTCTGTAAGTACCAAGTCTAGTAGTGCATATTATTGACATTTTTTTAAGTTCAATAATTTTTGTTTGTTTTCCGGTTGAATGATATTTGGCTAAGTTTATGATGGCCCTTGAATGAACATGGTGTTTTGGCCTGTTAATGTTTTTGTGTCACAATAGAGGATACATGCTACAAAGTAGCCACAACTTAATAGATCACTTCTCGGTTGTCATTGACATTTCAGTCTCAAAAGTTGTCTAGACTACTTTTCAAAAACTACTGGTGCACTTTCATCCAAACTTTACAGGATTGATAGTTCCAAGTTTAGTTGTGCATATCATCCGCATTTTCCAGTTCAATGAATTCTGGTAGAGTTATTGCCCTTTAATTATTTTTATTTTTAAATGTTTTGAAACATTACAGGACAGACCAGTTCTTAAATCACTTGTGCACAATTAATGGGTATTCTGACTGAATGATCTTTGGCCGAGTTATGGCCCATAAATAAAAAAAAAACATTTTGGCCAGTTACCGATACCTGTTTAACAAAGTGGCTGCAACATGAAATACAGTTAAATATAGTTCTGTTGTTCTACAGTGCAAACACGTCATAATTGCAAACATGTCATAATTATAGGGAACTCAATACAACTAATTAGTCCAACTAATTGTACTACGCAATGAGATATTGTACTTATAATTTAAATTTGTGTATATAGATAATATCTCCCCTCTTCTGACCCAGAAAAACATTTCTCTTAATCTCAATATTTTGACTATAAAGCACATTTTAATACATCGGTTAAAATCAATCAATTCCTGTGATTGAAAACGTTTTAAATTGAATGAAGTTGACCTCTGGTTTTATCAGCTTATTTCATTGGTCAACCGTCAACTGTTTATTTTTTACACTTCTGATTGGATTAATTTAAATTTGTATCAGGGTTCATTCAGACATCCAATGCCAAAATTCAAGGACTATTTAAGCACGTTTTCCCATTTTTCAAGCACATTTGTTGCACATATACCGACACAATCTTCAACCTATGAAGGATAGTTTGTTCACCATTTTTTGTTAAATACACATTTTCTAACATTATAGAAGAACAACTAAGGGTGCATCAAGTACAGATTAGTTCAAAACAACTGCAATTTGTCCACTTACTGTTACCTTGAGTAAACATTTCATTGATTTTGATACTAAATTGATACTTTTTTTTTATTTTGTTAACCGTTGATTTTTATCAAAACTATGTCATTCTGTGATTCAAACATTTTCAAGCACATTTTTAGGAAATTTAAGCACTTTTTAAGCACTTTTCAAGTGAGTAATCAAATTAAAGGACTTTTAAGCACTTTTTTACATTTTTAAGCACTTTTTAAGAAAGAGACTCAAATTTAGGCACTTTTTAAGACTGTACGAACTCTGTGTATTATTGAATTTGATTGGTTGTTTAGCTACCTATATTTAGGTTATTTTTCTCTTGTTTGCCATTCTGTTACTTATTTTGTAGTCGTGATCACGTTTCAAGTCTCTTTTTGCCCACCCACCCTGGCCCATGTGCATGGTTTTGCAATAAGTTTTATTGCATTTAGTTATATTGGTACTGTGTTTTGGTGAATATTTATCATGATAAATAATTCTTTGTGGATTGATAAGTATATTCATTTTTATAAAAAAATATTTAAGAAGGACTGTTTTATGCATACATCATGCCTAATCAATTTTTATTGCAGCTGTTTTACCTTTGTTGATATTATAATTTATGTTATATACAGTCAGTTATAAAAGCTCTTAGAGAATATGACTGTTGTACTGTAGTAAACTTGCCAACTTGAAATAAAACTTATCTTATATCATTCTATAGTTTATTACTGTTGACCAATTTTGCAGTTTTCTAGTGATAATTCGTGATCATTTATTAACCTAATTAATTATCATTTTTTAAATTTCTGGCTTGGTTTTTCTTTGTAAAATCTTAATTGAACAATAATTCAACTAAGCAGCCACCACATATTGGGAAATCAATACAACTTAGCTGTCGCAACATAAAGGGAACACATTACAACTAAGCTTCCGCAACATATAGACAGATAGGGAACTTGATAGCGAGCTCGAAGAGCTGGCCCAAAGGGCCTGCTGGCAAAGCGAGCTTTACGGTAATGCGAGTACGTACTAGATATTGACGGTTTTGTAAACTTTCGTCCGAAGTACTGAACTGACACATCGCAACTTTTCGAATTACAAGATAGAGATACAAGCCGAGGTATTCTGGTTGAAAACGGAAGCGTAGACTGGTATCCTGCGCACTTATATGGGAACCATAATAGCGAGCTAGCAAAGCGAGCTTTACGGTAATGCAAGTACCTGCTAAGTGATGGTTTTGAAAACTTTGGTCCGAAGTACTGATATGACACATCGCAACTTTTCGAATTTAAAGATAACGATAAAAACCGAGGTATTCTGATTGAAAAGGGAAGCGTAGACTGACCAGTGTCCTGCGCACTTATATGAGGTCCATAATTGGACAGGGAACCAGAATAAACGGAAGCAGTGTATAAAATACTGAATGACAATTTTAAAACGGAAAATGTAAAATGAAAATGAACGATTTATTTATACTATACTATTTCACGTCAAAAGTAATTCAAGCTCACTTTGAGGCTTTGCCTTTTTCATATTAGGACAGGGATCCAGAATAAACGGAAGCTGTGAATAAAATACCGAATGACAATTTTAAAACGGAAAATGCAAAATAATAATGAACGATTATTTTTACGGGCAAAGCGGGCCCGTGCTTTGGCTTGCCCGGCTATAGACTACACGTGTATATTTAAAAGAAAATTAAAATAAAAAACAATTAAAAAATATATAGAATTCTATACCTATCAATGAAATTTTCAGTGTCAGTTCTAGTTAGGCGCCGCCATTTACAATGTAACTCAATGATAAAAGGCGGTGTATTCCGATAACGTAACAAATCTCAACTTTTCGGATTAATAATAATCGTCGAGTGTTCCGAGTGAAAACGGAAGTGGGTACATATAATACCGAATGACACCTTTAAAACGGAAAAATGAAAGGATTTTTTACCGACTTCCCCGTTCATAGGCTTTGCCTAATTTCATATTACTATTTCACGATTAAAGTTAGTTGCTTTGCCTTTTTAATACGGGGAAGTCAAAGGCCGGGAACACGAAGCAGGCCCGGGCTTTGGCTTACCCGGCTATAGACTACATGTGTAATCAATTAAAAAATATATAGAATTCTATACCTATTAATGAAATTTTCAGTGTCAGTTCTAGTTGGGCGCCGCCATTTTCAATGTAACTCAATGATAAAAGGTGAGGTATTCCAATAACGGACAATCGCAACTTTTCGGATTAATAATAATCATCGAGTGTTCCGAGTGAAAACGGAAGTGGTGCATGAAATACCGAATGACACATTTAAAACGGAAAAATAAATGATTTTTTAACTGACTTCCCCATTCATAGGCTTTGCCTAATTTCATATTATAATACTGCTTTTAAAGTAATCTCGCGACTGAAAGACAATGCTGACAGTAAATTTGTTATCATGTTACATGATGTATAAATGTAAAATGTCTTTTATCATGATCATACAGTTGTGGGAATTAAATTGTTGATTGGGAATTGCCTTACCTTAGTTTTCATGTAATTTTCATCTTTTTTTACTAATTGTATAAAAGCTGCTGCTTTCTTTTTCTTGGATTCTATCCTATCAAAACTTTTCTTTGACATGTTGTAAGTGGAAAGTGCGATTTTTTATTTTAATTGAGGTTTCTCACATGGTAGCTGACATGTTTGTGAGTGGACGCTTGCAACGCAATGAAATATCAGCGCGAAGTTTAATAATATCGTTTAGGTGACTCAGATGAAAACAGTGTGCCAGCCGGAAACCAATAATAGAGGAACCAGCAGATTAAATCGGCTTCGGATTACTTCTCCATTGTTCATAGAATGAAAGCGGTAGTTTTAAAGATTTTATTTTTTAATAATTCTTTACAGCTCAATGCGATATGAAAACAACAAAAGAACTAGCAAGGTTTGATTTTTTATTTGTTTTCACGCAAAAAGTTTTAGTCACATGATAAGTAATGAACCAGTTTCATATTTTATCAAATAATTAAGTTTTACTTTATCTACTTTTACAAGTGTTGTATTTCGGACCAAGAATATTTCGGGACATATTTATAATAATCTTCCCTTTCTGTCAAACCCTTCGCAAACACGTAGACAGGATACTTTTGACCATTGTATATTTTTAAATGTTTAGAATGCTTTATGAACACAATTGAAGACGATAAAATTCGCTAATCCAGGAAATAGCCAATAATGCTTAAAGTTTAAACAGGCTGGTCAAGACCGATCAGAATGCCCGATCGGTCTTATGGCATAAATTGATAAAAAAATCATATTTCTAGAAAAATAATAAAGATATTTCTTTTAAACTTTGTTTGTTTATTAAAGAAAAATTTACTTGACATGAACTAAAAGAAAAATATTTTTGGGGTTTCTGCCCATTTATGATTATTTTTTCCCCTTTTTTTCATTTTTTTTTTAAAAACCGGGGCCCTTTTTTTTCACGGGGACTGGGGAAGCAGCCCTGCCCTTAATTTTGGGGAAAATTACACGGTATATTTGCAAAAGGGGATGAAAAAACTTGATTTAAATTCAATTTTTGGGGAAAACTGCATGATTTTAAAGAATCTTTCTTTGGGGAATCAGCCCTATTACAGATAATTTTATAAGTCCTTAACAAATATGTTACATATGGAAAGTTGTAAAAAAACAAAACAGGTTAAAAAAACTTCTTTATGCTCAGATTCATTGTCCCCGGCAACACCTGTCAGCATACATTTCATTCAGTTTTCAGAGAAAAATTTAAAGTATAATGTTCAGTGTCAAAGAATTCAATGTCAAGATACAATGTACATGTATAAATGCCAGTTCTAAACAATATTTAATCCAAATTTATAGAATAAAGGTAATGGGGCAATGATCTTGAGCAAATAAGGTTGTTGGACACATTTCTATTTTAATAAGAATTTAAGATTGCAGCATAATTTTTATGAACTTTAAATATTTTATTTCCAGAAAATGGGAAAAAGGGGAAATAATGCTAAGAAAATAAAAGATATTAACCAAATTTATTTCATTTTGATTTGTGTCATAATTATAAAAATCAAAAACAAGTTAGAAAGAAATATATTGATTATTTTATTAGAAATATGATATTTTTGTCTTAAGCCCCATCAGGCATTTTCACCAGCCTGTTAAATAAATGTATCCATTATGTTTGAATTTTACAGTTTAAGTTTACAACTGGGTTTTTCAAATATTGTATTTTACAGGGCTCTTAATTGGCACAGGTATCCAAGTCTTGAATCATGAGCAAGAATTTGACTTCACAAATTATGTGTTATATAAACATGAAAAAGGGGAAAAAATTCTCACAAAAGTAACAGTAACCAAACATTATCCTTTCTGTTTATGTCATAATATCTTATGCTTAATGAACAAACAAAGTTTAAAAGAAGAAAAAAAAATATTTTTCTTAAAATATGATTTTATATGTCATAAGCCCGATCGGGCATTTTCACCAGCCTGAAATCTGCCCACAAGTCAAGTTGGCATGCAGGACTTTTCTGTTAATCTAAATGCAAATAATGGCATGATGCATCATTCCTTTTTCTCAAACTACCACATTCATAATAAAATAATTTTGAAATCCGCTGCTCTTGTAATTAATTTCAATTTCTCAAACAAAAAATATTTCAACAAAGTTGTAAGGGGGGTATACTGAAATCAGCTTGTCTGTCCGGCTGTCTGTCGGTTTTTCCTTGTCCGCCCAACAACTTAAGATTCCTTTGACCCACAGCCTTCATATTTGGCATGGAGGTTAGTCATGATGAGATAACCCCTATTGATTTAGAGGTCACTGGGACAAAGGTCAAGTTTACAGGGGGCCGGGCCTTGACTGAAAAAAGTTTGTCTGCCCAACAACTTAAGATTCCTTTGACCCACAGTCTTCATATTTGGCATAGAGGTTAGTCGTGATGAGTAGATGACCCCTTTTGATTTTGAGGTTGCTGGGTCAAAGCTCAAGATCACAGGGGCCTTGACTGAAAAAAGCTTGTCAGTCTTATTACTTAAGATTCCTTTGACCCACAGTCTTCATATTTTGGCATTGAGTTAGTCATGATTTAGTAGTTGACACCTAATGATTTTAAGATTGCTAGGTCAAAGGTCAAGGTCACAGGGGCCTTGACTAAGAAAAGCTTGTCTGCCCAATAATTTTAGAATCCTTTGACCCAAAGTCATTAGAAGATTACTCCCATTGATTTTTGTGGTCACTGGGTCAAAGGTCAAGGTCACAAGGGCCTTGACTAAGAAAAGCTTGTTTGCCCAATAACTTACAAATCATTTAACCAACAGTCTTCATATTTGACATGGAGGTTAGTCATTATGAGAAGATGACCCCTATAGCTTTTGAGGTCACTGGGTCAAAGGTCAAGTTCACAGGGGCCAATAACTTAAGATTCATGTGACCCACAGTCTTCATATTTGGCATGGAGGTGAGTCATAATAAGTAAATGACCCCTATTAATTTTGAGGTAACTGGGTCAAAGGTCAAGGTCACAGATGCCTTAAGCTCAAACATCTTGTCTGCTCAATTGCGTAACAATGCTTTGGTTAACAGTCATATTTAGCATTGAGGTTGGTTATGACTGGTAGATGTACCCTATAGATTTTGAAGTCACTAGGTCAAAGGTCAGAAGGGCCTTGACTAAAAAAAAGCTGGTCTGCCCAATAACTTACAAATCCTTTGACCCACAGTCTTTATATTTGGCATACAGATTAGTTATAACCATTACATGACCAGTAGTGATTTTGAGGTCACTGAGTCAAAGGTCAAGGTGACAGGGGCCTTAAATAAAAAAAAGTTTGTCTGCCCAATATCTTAAGAATCATTTGAGCCACAGTCTTTATATTTGGCATGGAGATTAGTCATAAACCATTACATGACCAGTGGTGATTTTGAGGTCACTGGGTCAAAGGTCAAGGTCAAGGTCCGTTTTACATTGCTTTTTAAAAAAAAAAAAAAAAAAAAAAAAAAAAAAAAAAAAAAAAAAATTTTTAAAAAAAAAAAGTTTAAAAAA